TTGGAATATCCACGTATACCCATTAAAAGAAAGTTGCACCCCCTTTCATGGATATTATGCTACGTGAAGCTATACAAGACTTTAGATACACGTCTATTTTTCTTTAACATTTTACAAAAAATTCAGCCGCGAAAATAAGTATAAGTACTAGTAGTTGTCTCATTGGCACTCATACCATATCTTCTTATATCTAAGTATACGGAGAAACACAATAAACTATGGGCTAGAAGTAAACTAACAGCCAATTCCAAAATTTAAGCTGATAAATCCAAGATTAAAGTTGATAATTCCAAGAATAATGTTGATAATTCCAAGATTAAAGTTGATGATTCCAAGATTTATGTTGATAATTCCAAGATTAAAGTTGGAAATTCCAAGATTAAAGTTGATAATTCCAAGATTAATGTTGATAATTCCAAGATTAAAGTTGATAATTTCAAGATTAAAGTCGACAATTTGAAAAAAAATAAATAAAAAAGATGGCCCTAATACGCTTCCGTACTTTTCAATGAACTTAATTGATATATTTTTTTTAAAGACGAACACATAGTCTTGATGACTAATCGTGTAATTGGTTACTTTGATTGATTTTTTACTTTTATTATCGGGATAATCACAATGTAACAGGTTCGATAAAAATGTATAACTCTTGTGGTATCAACTATAACCTTTATTCAAATGTACTACATTATGTGTATAAACAAACAAAATCCTATAATATGTACAATTCAAGGTCAAATTGACATAGTTTGAAGACTATATCAATACAGAAGTAAAAGAGCACTAACAATTTTAAAATATCATATGGCTCAAAAACAATCGGTATACAAGATATACAAATGACCGTTTTATTCTATTGTATTATTCGAAACATGTCTTTGTCATGTTTGTCTTACACCAATTTACTAGTGTCATTTTTTCAGTCTTAGTTCTCATTACACAAATTCCCGAATTAATTGTAATATAATTGCTTATGTCAATGGAGAGTAAAACATGATTTTCAAAATAACTGTCAATATTACCAATAAAATACCGTTAATTTCATTTTGTACATTTATAGGAAAGAAGAAATACATTGAAATATAACATCTTAATTTTAGAAGTAGTTCCTTCATCATCTTAATAAACTTTTATTACAAAAGAACGTTGCAATTCTTAATCTTAAAAGCACAGTGAGACCATCAATTGTTAACAAAAGCTTACATATATAAAATTGAGAATGAAACGGGGAATGTGTCAAGGAGACAACAACCCGACCAGAGAGCAGAAAACAGCTCAAGGCCACCAATGAGTATTCAACACAGGAAATATCCCGCACCCGGAGGCCGGCCTCAGCTGGACCTACAAAGAGTACTTATTTATAATTCCCCGTTCATGAATTAACAAGTTGGTTGACTGTTATGGAATATCCGATTTACAGATGATAGCGGATATGTTCCAAATGTTGTAACTACAGTCCAGTCCACTTTTCCCTGAATGTGACCTGCCGATTTAGACTTATAACCGGGATTGTACTAACGTGAGTAAGACTACGGGTGCCACATGTGAAGCAGGATCTGCTTACCCTTTCGGAGCACCTGAGATCACCCCCAGTGTTGCTCATGTTTTAGTTTTCTATGTTGTTTTTTGTGTACTTATTGTTTGTCTGATGGTTTTTTTCTTTTTCAGCCATGGCGTTGTCAGCAGTTTATTTTTCGACTTATTACTTTGAAGGTCCCTTTGGTATCTTTCACCTCTCTTTTAAGAAATTATTAAGAAAAAAAGGTTCCAACCAAGGCAAAGTTGATCTAACGTGAATTTGGCTATTCTGTTTTGGTTCTTTTTTTGACCATTTGCATGTCACTCTGAACTTTTCAGAGTATTCACGCTTCCCACGCTTTCACATGTTTAGGTTTGAGGGTTCCTGCTGAAGGTTTATTCAGAACAGCGCTTCGGACGTTCTAAATTTATAATGTGTTTATTTCATTAATTGCAAGATAGCCAAATGATTTATTTGGACGAAATATATGACAGAATCCTATAACGCTTTATCTGGTCCTTAAAAAACACAAAGATATGAGGCGTTTTATCATTTTTTTACCAACAATTGTTCATCCGTAATTAGACAAATGTCAATACACTTAGTATTCCTTCAGTTATAAAGTCTGATCGAACTGCAAAATGTCTTCTCACCACTCTGTATACAGTGATAATAGAAACAGATGAGACTCATGACTGGGATAAGCATAACGAATATGGCGTGGATAAACATGTTGTCAGTGCTTTACCATCCCCTTACATTGGAAAAAAGTGTAAAATTGCAACATTAAAAAAACATAATAATCTGTTTTAAAAGGGTAACTATGTTGTATTGGTTTTTCTCATTGTTGAAGGTCCCGCGATGTATAGTAGTAAACATCTACATCGTATTGTCTCTTATTGAAAGTTTTTCGTTGTCAATCACATCACATCATCTTATCTTTATATTTACTCAGCACTTAGGACACTATTAACATAACAATGAGATAAAAAAAAAACGCAACTGGTCTGCGAGTACAGACAGCTACTGAAAGTAAGTTTAAAGTCAATTTCAGCTAACAATAGCAGAATAGTTTAGTATGTGAAATCACGTTTGGCGTTAAAGAAAGAAGTAGAATCACAAAAGGAAATTATTGGCCCTAAATGTCCATGAAAGTTCAGTTGGTTTTATTTTGTATTTTAATATATATGTATATGAGAAATACAACATCAAATAGCTCAGAAACATGAAATCAGTAATTATGCCATAATGTCATAATGATTAAAATTGAGAATGGAAATGGGGAATGTGTCAAAGAGACAACAACCCGACCATAGAGCAGACAACAGCCGAAGGCCACCAATGGGTCTTCAATGCAGCGAGAAACTCCCGCACCCGGAGGCGTCCTTCAGCTGGCCTTTAAACAAATATGTATACTAGTTCAGTGATAATGGACGTCATACTAAACTCCAAATTATACACAAGAAACTAAAATAAAAATTGATACAAGACTAACAAAGGCCAGAGGTTCCTGACTTGGGACAGGCGCAAAAATGCGGCGGGGTTTAACATGTTTTTTGAGATCTCAACCCCCCCCCCCCCCTATACCTCTAGCCAATGTAGAAAAAACAAACGCACAACAGTACGCACAGTAAAACTCAGTTTAAGAGAAGTCCGAGTCCGATATCAAAATAGGAAACAAAAGAAAATAAACAAAATGACAATAATACATAATTTACAACAGACTACTAGCAGTTTCTGACATGCCAGTTCCAGACCTCAATTAAACTGATTGAAAGATTATGTCTTCATCATATGAATATCAGGCACAATCCCTCCTATTAGGGGTTTAGTATTATACCATTATAAAATATATGAGAAGAACATAACCCGTGTCATGCCAACTACTGGTTTTAGAATAAATATGTTTAATTCCGATGCAAAGACCCTATAAGTGAATCAATATTAAAGCCAAAATATGCAATCTTTAATGACCTGACAACAGTATCGTAACTATATCCCTTCTAAATAAGTCTGTTTAAAGGTTTTGTTAGCTTTTGAGGTGAATACTGACATTTTTGTGCTTTGTAAAGAATATTACCATAAAAGATTGGATGTGAAATACCCGAACGTATAAGATGTCTGCATGTTCACTCTTATTATAATGTTTGCAGTTTGGTTAATTTTTGGCAAACTTCGGATAGGTTTTGCTTCAATTGGTTTAAGCCACATGCGTAGACGAACATATTCTTTGTTAGGATGTGCATTTTAACCATATACAGCTTTTGATAATAAACTACTTTTTGTCACAGGATGTGCCCAAGGATTTCAGAGGGAATTAAAACTTATAGATTTCAGAAAATGTGTGTGATAGGGTAACACATGCAAAGTTGAAGATATCAGTATTATTTAAAACAAAGAGTAATCATGAAGACAGTCTTTTTTATTCAAATTTGCAAAGTTTACAAGTTAAATTTGGAATTAAGCATTGACATTAAAAACATTGTTTTTACCAAATATAGAGCGTCCTGTCCTTCTCCTTTCGAGTACAAAATATCAATCAAACAAAATATAGCCATAGTGCCTTAAGTTTGTTGTCTGTCCTGACATACAAAATTAATTATTTGTAACTATAAAGATTAGAAAATTGAATAATTAACTCAGATATATATATACTAGTACTATACATAATATTATAGAAATATTAGGAAGTAGATAATTTTTACGTAGTTTTGAAAGGATTACCAATAATTTACTTCAGAAGCAAATTGTTTATATTTTCTAAATCCACTAGTTCTTATAACATGTATAAATTATGTTACTTATAGACATTATATTTGCTCGGTTCTAACCATGATCAATGTAATTATCAAAAAAGAATATTTATTGATCTACTATTTATTATTTAAGTGTTTGGAATAGATTGAAAATCTACATTTAGATATTTGTTATAATAGAAAAAAGATTAAAATAACTGAACATGACACACATATTATTCTTGAAATAGTTTGGAGAGTATATGCAAAAATGATTTGTTGCATACTAATTTACAATACCATGAATGAAGAAATTACTAGGAACAATACAATGAAATGGGAAGAATTAATTAGATGCATAAATTTTCCAATATTTTGTAAACACACTGCTCATACGCGTTTGGTCCTGAATAAAAGAACGACACATAAACCATGTAAATGGTTTATCATCTCACCTATAATTAGTTGTTTCACTTACACTGACCTAATCACAAACTTTATGATGCAAATAGACAGAGTTTTTAACATAAAATAAAACATGACTGAGGGGAGGTGACATACATTCCACATATCAGTTATTAGATGAACACACAGTACAACTGCATACCAAATATCCTAGATTTACTATTAGTGGTTTCCCTTTAACTGATAAACATTGTAATCACAAACTTATACAATCGTCGACGCTCGAAACAGCAAGAATAAGTGTCGCTTCAACGACTTCGTCAAAATTGATAAAAAAAACCTTTAGCAAATATTTTTAATCGAGAACATGTAAAGTTTTGTCTTTCCTTTGTTTTCATTCATGATCTACAAAAATTAAACATATCAATTAAACTATATATGTGTAAGAAAATATTAACAATACTATTAACTATATTTTTATATATAAAGACCAATATATATTGAGTAAAACAAATTCGAGCTATGTTGAATGCCTATCTATGGCTCTTATATATGTTTACAAACCTCGAACTTTACACTTACCATACCTTTGGTCTCAAAGCGTAAGTACAATGTAAAACATATGATTTCTGTTTAAACTCATAGCGTACACTCTGAATTCGGCATAATACACATGTACATTTTTAGTTATCTTACTAAGCAACTCGTTCTTGGATAAAGAACTCGGAATATTGTCTTGTTAATTTGCTGACAATGCCATGGCAAAAAACGAAGAACGATCAAACACAAACAACACTAAACAAAACACAACATCTAACACTAAATATTGAGCTACACGAACCCAAACAAAACCCGGGATGATCTCAAGGGCTCCGGAAGGATAAACAGATCCTGCTCCACGTCTGCCATCCGTTGTGTTGTCTTGAATACAGAGATATAGACGTTTTGCTTAGGTGAAACTGTTGATAATTCAGTTGAAAAAGAGGGAGTATATTCCAAAACAAACCTCCGAGTGCGGGATTTTCTCGTTGTGTTGAAGACCCATTGCTGGCAACGGCTGTATTCTGATCTTTAAGTCGATTTGTTGTCTCTTTGCTACATTCCCAATTTCCATTCTCACTTTTATTATAGGTATTCCAAGGTTTAAAAATCCAGTGCACAGGTGTATACAGACAATCTACTGAATCTTTTTCAAATAATTACGTTTAAGGCAGATTTACTTGTTCTTAACATATTACATCATTCATAAAGCGCATTCATGCATTTTTATGAGAACAAGCCAAATATCGTTATGAAGGAACTGTTGAAGTGGTTTGATATGCATTGTTCTTTTATGGTTATACTATTTTTTCTAGATTATTTTCAAAAATTAAAATCGCCTGTATTTTTTTTTTTTAATTTTTAAAGTAGTTACACAACATATAAACCCAGTAAAAAACAAAAAACAAAACAAAATTAATTGCAGTTTTTAATAACAAAAAAGTTAGCTCATTTATGCATTTTGTCAAAGGAATATTCATTACGCATGAAATACATGTAATTATTTTAAGATCAAAATTATATTTATTTAATAAATATACAAATACATGTAAACATGTTTTCGTCACTAAATTTTTTTTTTAAGAAAAGATAATCATCTGTTAAAGGTTTAATTCCCATCAATATTGCATACAATGTTAACAGTAAGGTGTACACCTAATAATCATGATAATACCGGACAATTACTTACCAATTATAAAAAAAATTCAGGAACAATCTTGTTTATGTTTCATGATTGTTAGGGAAAAGAATATCAAATGTAAACTACCAGTACTTTCCATTCTTAAACTAGAAGATGTAAAGAGCTATTATTGTTAACCTGGATATATGTGCACCTTCAACAATGGACAGTCTCAAATATTGTAGACTAGCATATAATTCATGAATAAAATCTCTATTTTTATCATTTTTCCGAATTATATTTTCCGTTTATCTACTGTAGTTTTTACCTTAGAACACAGAAAGGGATAAGCATCGTAATTCAGGGGCAATAATTCCTGCAATAAGTGGAATGACAATTTATAAATTTGTTGACCTATCTGTATAATTTGTGTTTCTAATCGTTTCTGCCAATTCCCTTTATGTATAAAGCAATTACAGTATTTGGCAAAAATGTGGGGGATTTTCTGTTTTTAAAGCTCTTCAATTTCGTACTATCCTTTAGTGTTTGACCAAAAGGTGAAAATCGTCATTTTAAAACAATAGCTTATAAAGGAGTCAACTGTCACTTTCGACTATATTGATATATTTTTATATCAAGTTTTTGTTTATATTTTTTTTTTTTTATTTATAGTTTTTCTTTATCTTATATAGTGTTTGCCAAAATAAAAAGCAAAATGGGTAAACTTAAGAGAATAACTCCTTTAAACATTCAGCAATGTTGATAAAAAAATGTCCTTTTTAATTTGTACATTTGTAATACGAGTGAGGGAAATAACTAGAGAAGACCAACAATATGCAACAAGTGCTGTAAAGTGTAAAACATTCAAAATATCATGTACTTTGAAAAATTTTGAAAATTATCGTTTAGGTCGAAGAAATAACTTACTATATAGCTTTGCGTGATGTTTAATGGCATTTCCGAATGCCTTTTGCACAAATGTTTCCACAACCGTTAGAACAACATAGATTTCCATAACCACAGCCAGCTGGAGGACATCGATTTAAACAAATACCGACTGTACCTGGTGGTAGGGTTGGACACACCAATCTGCACTCTATGATAAAAAGATGATTCTTGTTTTTGTTCAATTGATCGCTAATACAACGCATTACTATGCAAGTTCATTGTACTTATATTTTTGTGTATTGTTCCAAATATCATAAGAAAATAACCCAAAAATGTTAAGCTCACCCCATTTGAAATGACAACACTATTGTTCAAGTACTTCGTGCACACAGTCATGTTTCGTAAATTTCACTTATATCAAAAGAAGTTGATATTATATATATAAAATATAAATCATTAAAAGTAATATGTAACAATCAATTATAACCTTATAATATTCATGAGAAAAAAAATTGAAATTTGATAAATATTTTATTTTCATTAAGTTGAAACACACACGCACTAACAAACAAACAAGAAAACATCGAACAAATTAAAAGGGATACACTTACTTGGTATTGCACCACTGACAGCAGAAGATAAGAAAAATACAACACAAAATCTGCACAGTAATAATCCAGCCAATTTCGACATCGTCTCTGCGTACATATATTCAAAGTGACAATGCTATTGTTTATTTATTTCATTTTTAAATAATTTATATGAGTCATTTGTCAAATGATATAACGCTCAACGAACATGTAAACATTTCAAGGAAATACGGATACTAAAGACATGTGGTTAAAACTTGTTTTTACAAGAAAAACAAATTACATTAATTTGTAAACATGAAGTCAGGTAATCTTTTATCTGTATACAAACTTTTAATACAATCTTTGTTAACCTGCCCTAGTGTTACGACATGTTGTCAGTCGTTCTAGACATTTTATTTTTCGATTATTTTCATAATTGTCGAATCTATAAATATTAGGTTTTTTCTTAAAAAAATATATACTGTTGAAATGTTTAAAGACTTGCAAGACTATTTAGTTAATTGAAACTATCATGAAGACGTTTTTTTTTTTCAGGTAATGTCCGCCATCATTAAATACTTTTATGAGTTATCCAATTCAAAATGTTAATTCTTGCCGGAGGATACATTTATCAAGTTTGTTTAGTCCTATAACTAGATGTATAATTTATATACATTACATTGACAGTGTTATTACAAAACAAATTTTTTTAAGTCCATTTTGGTATAAAAACATTTCGGCGTATACACTCAAAACCTTATCTTTTAGGTTATTTAAGCTGTACATACCATCAAGCATAATCTTTCACCAATAAACAGAAATAGTCCAATTTCATACTTACTCAAGTAATGAACAGGAACACCAGACAGATCTATGAAGACAGTTGTGTCTCATTTTTAATACATATGTTGCATATGTTAATCTATTACTTGCAGAATGTTTAATTGCAAACAGGCATTTTGGCATGTATTTATGAAACAGTAACATATTAATAATATGTTCAATGCGTTGTAACAGTCCAATAAACTTAATTATTTTGTATGTGTTACCTCACAAAGTAATAATCCACATGAAAAAGACATTGCACTCCATCTGAAATATTACCCGGCTAAGCTGAAGTCTTTCCGACTAAATGATATTTGCCTTTAGGGAGAAACAGCAAGGACTTATTCAAACGAACATGTTTCGTACTCCTGGTATAAGACCTTTGTACCAACTCTCGACTCCGACTAATGACACCTACAGCTTAAAGGTGAAATAGAGGGGTCGTGTCAAAGATAAAAATCATTCAGGCATAACATGGATGAAATATATACATGATATACCTACATAAGTGATTTGAACATTATTATAAGAAATATAACGAATATTAAGCAAACAGCTATTTGTGGATTTTCTGAATTTTTTCCTTTTCTATCAATTAATATTTAACAATTTCTCAATTTTTACACGCATGGAATTCAAGCTATTTTTTCTTTTTATTCCTCTGCTCGTGCATGCTTACATAAATATCATTAAACGTTATATTGTTAAAGTACACCGGTTTAATACTATCGATTGTTAATACAAAAAGTATGACGAAAGCGATAAGGAACTTTAGGCATCCAAAATCTTATTTTCCTGGGTGACGGGGCATCTGATTTTCAAGAATTTAGTTTTATTCTAAAGATAATATAGGGCAAATTTTCCCACGAATTTATTTCACTATCTCGGACAAAATCAGAAAGGTTTTGAGACCTACTGAATTTCGAGGTCTATATAACATACTCATGATACTTAATTTGTAGTCGATTATTTTTCCTATTTCCTTCAATATTCAATGATATATTGCTGATAACAAAAATATTGCAGATTCAAATTTCAATGAGATGATTTTAGCTTCCCAACTTTCCATTTCTATGTAGCAACATTCAAGCAGCGCCTGCATACTGAGTATAAGTATATCAGTTGATACGCTATTCCAGGGCTTGTATTTCGTATGATGATATCCTTGCGAGAGGGTTGCTGTTCCCAAGGAGGCTATTAAACCAAGAGTTCCAAGTGGTGAAGTTGAATTCATCCTTTCGTAAATTTTACGGACGCCATCACGAGTTGGTTGACCGTTATGGAATATCTGTTTCACAGATGACGACGGATATGTTCCAATTGTCGTAACTACAATCCCGTCCCCTTTTTTCCGAATGTGACCTACCGAATTAGACTTATCACCGGGTTTGTACTTACATGAGGAACACGAAGGGTGCAATATGTGGAGCAGAATATGAGATCAACCCCAGTTTTTGGTGGGGTTCGTGTTGCTCAGTCTTGTTTATTTCTAGAATTTAAAATACTTGATTTAAAAAAAATTTGATTCTGTATTGTTATAGTTCAAAAATGATACATGCGATGATTTGGAACTTTTTTCTTAAATAAAGATTTTACTTACATACACAATTTTTAAGCTGGATAATTTCCTACAAGATAATGTTGAGTAACAATTAAAAGAATCCTTATTGGATTAAAGTTTTGTTTGCTATAAAATAAAATGCTAGACGATGATTTCGACATATTGTGATATTTCACATTTATCACTCCATGCATAACTTGTTCTTCTTCTCTTGCATCTCTTAAGATCTTTCCTCATGGCGTACTCATTATGTTGCTATATATTTGTTATTTAATTCCAAGCCCCTTTCATCTCTCCTGTAGTTTAAGTAGGGGGAAATTTCAAATACATTTTCTTCCCATGCTCGTCCATTAAAACAACATTTTCTCTTAATTATACACCAATAAGCCATTTGTTTGGACATTTTAGTTGGTGTCTTTTTTTTTTTTGCTTCCTTTACATAATATCAGTAAACTTTATTTGTTTATTTCAAAATATCAACGACCATTTCAATTATCAAAAAATAACGTGCCGTCAACAAATTAAAATCAAGACAATACATAATGTAGTTATATAATTTCATCATATCTTTATATCTTAATCTCGCTAATGTGTACTTCAAACAAGTGCTCACACCTATTACGCGCATTGAATTCATACTTTTATTTTTCTTTTGATCCCTTTCTTCATGCTTGTTTATATACATATCACTGAACGTTATATTGTTCAAATAAATCGCCTGGTATCGATTGTTAGTACTAAATGTATGAAAGAAGCGATGAGGATCTTAAGGCATGCATTGTTCAATTACTATATAGTATTACTTTGATTCTAAGGAAAAGGGCGAATTTCCCTGATTTGTTCCACAAATTGGGACAAAATAAAAAAAGATTTAATACCTACTGGAATTCGAAGACTTTAGAATTTAAATAAATTTCCTTCTCGATAATATGCAAATGTTTCCAAAAATGTAGTAAAATTGCAGTTTTGAGTCATCTTGAGGCATTGATGACTTTTCAGTGAGACATTCGGATTACGGCAAGTTTCGGTTAAACCTTACAGTAAACATATGAATCGGATTATCTATATTTTAGTCAAGAATGAAGGAGACTTGAAAATGCCCCTGGTTTGATATGACTTCATGGAAAATTGATCCTACCCATTTTTCAATTGTTGTAGAAGGAATGTGATAATCCAAATAAATGTAAAAAAAAAAAATGATTTGAAAAAACTTGATCCTGTATTGTTAGAATTGAAAAATATATATAGTTAACAGAAGGGGGTACTTTGGAATTAAATTATTTTCCATGCTCGTACGCTATTAACACAACCTTTTCTCTAATGCACCAATTTGTCATTTGTTTGGACATTTTAGTTGGTTACGTATTTTTGAATTATTTTACACACTACCATCAATTTAACCCCAGCTCTTCATAAAAGTATGCATTGTTAAATCAGTTTGAATAATCAAAACAAAATTTTTCACGGATGAGTACATGCCATGAGCTAACATATGTATAAGCATTTGAATTTAAATTTTACAAATATTCTGTATCAAAAGGTAATTATAGAAAGGTTCCGATTTAAGAATTCTTTAGTAAAGTGAAGACTTGAGAAGTTTTATGCATACGACTTCCGAATGTTACTTAAATAAGGGAATACTTAGAGAAATCTAAGTTTAAGAACACTTAAGTTAAGATGTTTTATGCATACGGGCCTAATTGCGCATTTCGACAATAGATGTCTTTTCAGTGATGCTGGAGGCCAAATTATTGAAAATCCAAACTTATTAAAAACATGAAGAGCTTATAAACCCAACAGGATAAAAAGTAAAGCCAATGCCGGGCAAGTGTACACGTATAAAATTGCCAGGTTAATTTAGAATTCCAAATATTTTTATAGGGAAATGCACGTTATGGTTTTTATATATACCACAATATTGTTTGAGGTTTTGCTTGTGGGAACAAAAACGCATGTGTCATGAAGACATACTAAAGCATTTACTACCTCAGGGTCATTCAAAGGGCCGTAATCAATTGTGCATATTGTCCATCGTAGTGTTTGGATGCGCTTCTGAATGCAGAATGAACACACAGCTTTTATGAATTTTGAAAGAGTCTTCCTTTTTATTTGGAATAGTAATCCAATATCATTATGAATACGAATAATCCTTTTCGATATGGTAACCATACTTAGTTAAAATACCCCTGTTTTGTTCAAATGCTCCATAATTTTTCAGAAATATAGAGTTATTTTCTGTTTCTTCGTCTTCGTTGACTTGGTCTTTTTGCCCTTTTGGGTATTTCCATGAACACTTTCAAAAGTGTTCACCCATGGAAATATTTCTAAAGGATGCAACGCGATATTGAATGAAGATGAAAACTTACTAAAACGGCTGATACTGGAAATCTTAAAGTAATTCAAATTATATGCTAGGCAAAGAGTCCATTTTCAATATTTAAGTTCTAAAATGTTTCTCTTCAAAGGAAAAACATCTTGGGAAAAGCCATGAAAAGCAGGATAAAGCATAAACAACTGCGCAGTTTCTGTGTTCCTAGCAGGCCCAGACCCCTGCCTATACTACTGCCTCCTCTTAAACATACACTAATGTACGCCTCTGCAGTGACTGTACATGAATACTCCGGTTAGTGAGAAGATGGTCAGCTTGATCTTGGAATTCTGTCTGCGGATTATTTGGTATATCACCAGTGTAAACAAAGTGCGTATCAAGATAGTTCAAATCCGTCCTTCTCTCCTTTGGTAAAAACATGAAAAAGGACGATGAAAATTTCCCATCTTTATACTAGATACATAACCTTCACAAAAATCCTTATAAAAAACGAAAGATAACTGGGTCGTCAAGGTGTTCGAGCAAATATCTTTCAAAAGTTCTTACCACCATTCTTTCTATGGCAAAAGATTGCCTTCAGAAATATTATGAGGAGGTATTTTCAACCAGCGGTGTCAATCAGATTTGGATTCTTAAAAATTCTAAAGATCTACCCTAAAATGTTCAATGACATTCATTATAATTTTGAGGTAATATCAAAAATTTGAGCAATTAAATTTTCACCTAAATCGTTTCATTAAACAGAGCTTTTTCTACAAAAATGGGAAACTAAGTTACAAATTCATTGTCTAATGTCATGAAAAATCTTACCTTTGTGACTAAACCACACCGATTCTCACAGCAAATACACCGAAGAGGATATCATCAAAATAGTAGATTTTTTTTTATCGACGGACAACATATTTGTTGAGTTTGGTGGGTTGATATTTCATCAGACAGTTGGTGTTCCAATGGGTAAACAGTGTGCACCACTACTGATAGACTTGTTTTTTGTACTCATATGAAGCAGAATTCACACAGAACCTTCTCAGAGACAAAAAGAAAAGAATTTTGATTTTTTTTTATTTCACTTTCAGATATATTGATGATCTTCTGTAACTTAATAACCCACATTTCCCTTTATAGATACAGATAGAGATTTCATACTATAATCTATGACAAACGTGATGATTTCAAATTTCCGATTGTCATGTGTCGGTGTTTTATCTCAAACATGATTTAAAGTAAATGTTATTTTTCCCGATAATTATGTAAGAAACTGAAAATACGGACAATAAATACTTGTCTCCTGATATTTATATGTGTTCATAAATCATGTTTACTGTAAATCATAGGATATCCCATTGTTAAATATGTCATTACCATCTTATAACGTTGACTTAGACTGTTTGTACTGCTAAACTAAAATAGTGTTGCTGACTTCATTTTACTAGATTTCGACTCAGCATTTTATTATAGTTTCACAAATTACAGCACAGCAATTGTGCAATAAAACAAATACTACAACTTAATTACTGCATCACACAAATAAGCTATTTCAGAAAATTATTGTGACAATACAAAATACATTTTTCTAAATCAGTACAACATGTAACTCCATCATTTCTGTAATTATTTCTTTACAAACTTATTCTGTATTTATTTTGTTAAATCTGAATTGTTACATGATTGTCATTGCAACAACTATCAACCAGAGACCAGAGACAAGGTTACCCTGTTATCCTCAACAGATACATATAATTAATAACACCAAAAAAACAAACCCACAAATAATCCCCTTTTAGGGAAAACAATATATTTTTTTTCGTGTTGGTAAATGTTAAAAAAAAAGTAAAGACAGAATTAAAGACAATATCAATTTTTCTCAACTTTCCTCATCTCTAAATTTTGTAAGGTATACTGTAAAGTGATTATAAGTTAGGGCGACCGGAAACTTTATCTCTATAAAGGTCGATGACAATATATTGAAAATTATTCAGTTATTATGTCTCTAAAACAAGTTTTTGGTTATGAAACAACAATACAGCGCCAAATGTTATCAAATTTCACATTATTCAATTTTCTCTAATATTAGTGTGAAAGACATTATGAAAAGTATGAACTTTATTCACCTTTATATCATGAAAACGTTTCACTACTCTAATTTTTCTAATATATAGTTTTGGGTAGTTAGGGTTGTCTCATTTTCCGTTTTTACCCTCTTTCTGTACATGTAAATAAACACAAAACCATTTAGCAGTCCTCCAGAGTTTGCAAGCAGTACTGTGAATAGGACAACGAAAGGCGGCGCATCAGCAATATATTCCAACACTCCAAACACTGACGACGCAGTCTATTGTATGACAAACATCACTACAAATAACATCATGGTTCTAACAGCTTGATGTGATGCTTTAGCTGATGACGCCTCTTTACCAATTGAATCTTGTATTCTCTTTGATTCAGTTCGTAGTTTTCGCCATACCAATGCATACAAAATACAGTTGGTCACTAGAATCAAAAGTGATAGTGCTGTAGTAAACATGAGTAATATCACGCCTCCTGTTACACCGTTCATAGCACAACTGAAAGTAATAAAAAAAACAATATGAAAAAGCGGCATTTTCACAACCAATCACCTTTTTCATTTTAGCTGACCTGGCTTATATAAGTCAATTGAGCTTTTCTTAACTCTAAAGTCCGCCGTCCTCGCGTAAGAAATGTTTATTTGTGTGTAAAAACAGCAGTTTCAGTCTCATTAGTACAGAACATGCCATGAAATATTTTAGGATCACAGTCTTTGTCGATGGAATTTTTTACTAAAGAATAAAGAATGTCATATGGCCCCTTGTTATCCAATGAGAGAAGCTAATTCTTAATCGATATGAAATAAACCAAATTATAATATTTTGTAATAATTTGTAACTATATCAATTAAACGTCGCCGCGATATAGACTTTTTGTGCTGATGCGGCGTAAAGCAATCACCAATCAATCAATGAATTAAATATGATTATATGAAAAAGCAGCATAATCATTAAACGTAAACATGAACTAAAAATGAGCATCATTAATACAGCCAAATTCCGGATCACCAATAATGGTATACGCGATAAATGTCATTTTAGAAACCTGACAGAAACCACATAAATCAATTATGAATGATTCTTATACAACTGAAAAAAATGTTTTTTTGGAGCGATGGAAGGTATTTAGGAATGTCTGTCTATAAGCTTTGTAAGCTAGTTGGATATTATGGAAACTTCCCAAAACATAGAATACTTCCTACGGATGTGCATAAAGGAATAAAATCCCGATACAGTCGAAATTACCTACTTTAACATTGCTATATGGGATAATAACCTCAGGTAAGCGCAACTTATTTTACAGTTGTAGAGCACTACGTAAAGATGATTTTAAAGGAATATAATCCCGGTCCAACATGTTAAAAGAGAGATAATCGAATTTACGCGGAGCTGGTATCTTTTGTAAGTCCACTCATAGTTCTAGTTCATATTGGGTTGTTTAATTGATTTCAACTCTATCTAAGTTTAATTGCAATTTTCACATTGGAAAAATATTATCATGTTTGTTTGGTTGTTTTTTTTCGACTATTTTCATACTTTTAAAAGTATCTACTTTATTGTATTGGTTTTTTAACTGATAACCCCAGATTTTAGCTGGTTGTGGTTTCTTCTTGTCATGATATCCATAAAATAACCAGGGTGTAAATAAAAGACTTAAGGAAGAAATAATTAAATATGTGGTTTAATTGACCTTTGCAAAACTGATAATCACATCGGCCGTTGGCTTCAGTGAATATCAGTTTTTCAAATGTCAATAAGACCACATATTTACCTCACCAAAAGACAGTAATTGTATAGTATCTTATAGTCTGCATATTTCTTACCCTGTAATGATATTGAGGCCTACTGCATTTTGCTCAATGAAATATGACTTGTTACTAAAGGAACAGATCGAAAAACATGAGAAAAGCAATGAGCAAGATAAGCAAAAAGCTGCAAATTTGATGTGGTTACATTTCGTTTGCCAGAAAATAACCAGAAAAAGACAATCGGAGTATGTAAGATTAGGTCCGCTTTTGACCCTTTGACCTTTTAATCGAAAATCAATCTAGCAACGGACACCCTTCAGATGTTCATAAAGCATTAGTCTGTCGAATATCAGTATTTATATTTTTGAATTTTGTCTCACATATTGACAAAAGGGCTTCAAACATTTTATATTTAGTGCAAAACAGCAAAAATTGCCAAAAATAGCCTCATTCTGGGGTCTGGTCATTAATATTTATATATGAGCAACAGCTTTACCCATGCAGAAAGATATTTTGCTAAAAAATATATTTTACAAAGATGTTATTGTGCATAAAATATATCTTTTTATGTAAAGATGTTGCTAATTTATATTTGACCACAAAGTATGCGTGAAATGGCCGTTTTAGATGGAATACGTAAAATTCTTGCTTTAAACCTTTATGTTTCATAATTTCTATCTTTATTGGAAATTCAAACACCTATTAAATATATCAGATATACAATTACGTTATTCAAATAATCTGGAATTGATGAATACCTTACGTCACGGAATTTTTCAACGTCAAAATACCAATATTGTTGTATATAGCGCTCTTTTTAAATATATTTTGTCTTGTGTAATCTCCTGTCGCTATATATTCGATATATGACATCACACCTTGATGAAGAGATATTGGAGACCCACTGAAGAAAAATATTGCATTGTATAATCTTCGATGTTTTGTTTGAAAGAGATCCAGTAATGAACACGTCTTTGCATAAATTAAAAATATGGACACACGTGTCCTTCCGGCAGCAAGAGGTTAAATACTACTTAGCCAAATACTCTTTTTAGATATACAAATGTTTTTCTCATTCTCTACGAAATGATTAGTTTTCAAAAAATAAGGGCCCACAAAAGGACTATTTGGTGTTGATTGCAGATCTTTTTTTCTATAATCATCGAAATATTTCACATATACTGAATATCTGTAAAATTCCTTTTTATAATACAGTTTTCTAGGGTCAGAGTAAGTAAAACTTGTTTGATTTGTTTTCTTTTTAGTGATAATAACTTCTTCCCGGGAGAAACGACTTCGTCTTCCTATTCTATTTGTTTTGTTGAAACGGTTGCAAGTTAACTTTATTCTTCGAAAGATAACGTCCGTAATTTCGAAGATCATCGCATTTTAGCGTAAACATCGTATTTTAGCATATTAAATCATCGTACTTTGGCTCATACCGTCTATCTCTAGTTTTACCATCGCACTTTAGCGTCTCCGTCGCACGTTGGGGTCCTACATATATATATATGTACAATGTTATACTTGCAAATATCCATTGGACCAAGTTTATTCAAAATGACAGATACAGATAAAAGGCAGATCGGAAGTCCAAATATACAACACAACAAACGGTAATCATTCTTCCCGAAATAAAGTGACTTTCCAAAGTACATCATATAAAAAGCATTGATGGCTATTGCATTTACACATAACATCTGAGACATTACAAATATAAACAAATTTATGTATTACTGAAAAATTATTACACCAGGGTTTTCGATATCATAAATTAGTCAAAACATTTACTAAGTTTTATCATCGGTATAAGGACATCATTCGTAAATATAACTCAACATGCAGACATCTTATACGTTCGGGTATTTCACATCCAATCTTGTATGGTAATATTCTTTACAAAGCATAAAAATGTCAGTATTCACCTCAAAAGCTAACAAAACCTTTAAACAGACTTATTAAAAAGGGATATAGTTACGATACTGTTGTCAGGTCATTAAAGATTGCATATTTTGGCTTTAATATTGATTCACTTATAAGGTCTTTGCATCGGAATTAAACATATTTATTCTAAAACCAGTTGTTGGCATGACACGTGTTATGTTCTTCTCATATATTTTATGATGGTATAATACTAAACCCCTAACAGGAGGGATTGTGCCTGATATTCATATGATAAAGACATAATTCTTTCAATCAGTTTAATTGAGGTCTGGAGCTGGCATGTCAGTAACTGCTAGTAGTCTGTTGTTATTTATGTATTATTGTCATTTTGTTTATTTTCTTTTGTTTCCTATTCTGACATCGGAATCAGACTTCTCTTAAACTGAGTTTTACTGTGCGTACCGTTGTGCGTTTGTTTTTATCTACATTAGCTAGAGGTATAGGGGGAGGGTTGAGATCTCAAAAAACATGTTCAACCCCGCCGCATTTTCGCGCCTGTCATAAGTCAGGAGCCTCTGGCCTTTGTTAGTCTTGTATCATTTTTAATTTTAGTTTCTTGTGTATAATTTGGAGTTAAGTATGACGTCCATTATTACTGAACTAGTATACATATTTGTTTAGGGGCCAGCTGAAGGACGCCTCCGGGTGCAGGAGTTTTTCGCTGCATTGAAGACCCATTGGTGGCCTTCGGCTGTCGTCTGCTCTATGGTCGGGTTGTTGTCTCTTTGACACATTCCCCATTTCCATTTTCAATTTTATCATAAAAGAGTAGAACGAGCACAATGCCGGTGGACGAGGGTGTGACATTGTCATCAGGTAGTGAAGATGATCCATACAATGAAATATGTTAAAATCCCCATCACATATCGCAAGATAAACTACGAAACGTTTAGTTTTGGGCCTCCCAAAGAATGCTGCTTTTCTCCTAAACGAAATGATTAAGATTGTCATGGCACATGCAAAACTCACTGCGATCGTTGTGAGGGCTACGATGTGGATAGGATAGAAAAATCCATTATCAAGTCCTTTAACTGGTAAGTCATATCCGTTTCGCACAGTTTTTATGGAAACCATTCTTTTTGTATTTCCAATTTCTAATTAAAATGCCTTAATAGTAAATCGTTTCTTCAAACTTTTCTATTCTAATTTGAACAAAATATGAAATATACTATTACGAAATTGTGAATGTATATGAACATAACACACAAATCTTCCGTCAGCTTTCAAAATCGGTTTAGGGACCAAGAAAACTGCTTGATAATTCATTATATATGTGGGGAAGTCAATTAACTTCGTATTCGAGTATTTACGGAAAATGGGTAGGAAAGCGTAAAGTATTGTGCTGGTAAGCTTATATCTGTATTTTTATTGAATAATTCTGCATCAATCGATTTGATAATAGCGTACTAAACAAAGAATAAGTAGCCAAGGAAGTACTTACCCAAGCTGCTATTAATTTTTTAACAACGGATCTTTGATCTCTTGCAAAATTATGATTTTTATGTTTCGTGGGATTCCAATCCATTATAAGAGCATGACAAATCAGAATTTGAACCAAAGAAGACAATAGATGAACGAGACCATTCTGAAACAAGGAAAACGATAGACGAACGAGAGACAAATCAGAAAAAAAGACAACTTAAAGATAAACAGGACAAGTAAAAAAAGAAAGACAATAGATGAACGAGACAAGTCAAAAACAAAGAAGACAATAGATTTTTTGTGAAGTTGGGATAAATTATATAACCTCTCTAAAAATGTGTCAAGAACTTTTCTATAACAGTTCTCTTGACAGGTTTTGACAATTGTAGGAAAGAATATGACGAATTATTCTGCCAGTTCTGAAGAGAGACTAGAACTGGTCCCAGCTGTACTTATTATATTAGTTCTTACTTCTTGTTTTATAAATGTAATTCATCTGACCACAAATAGAGCGTAATGGTAAATTGAGAACCTTCTAATATCGTGAAAACCATTATATGATCTTACTATAGGTACAGAAAACAAAATATGTTTAGAAAGTCTAGATTCATTCATGCAAAATTAACAGACGACTCCTTACAGAAGTCATAATCCTCAAATCATGGTTTTCACCTTTGTTGGTTATTATCTCGAAAACTACTTTGCTATCTACCGCCTCTCTTTCATAATTGTTGACAGAGAGAGACCGTTTTACAGCCATAATATTTAGAAAAAAACACCATCTGCAAAAATGCAAATATGGCTTTATCAAAAAATTGACCCCTTACAAAAGTTATAGCTATACGTTATGTCCTTTTTTGTTTGATCAGCTCATCAATCTTTGTAGTAGATTTTGGATATATTCACATATCTTGGCCTCGAGCATCACTAGAGAGGCGACAGATACCAATGGAATATTCAAACCCATAAACTGACAACGCTATGACAAAAAAATGAAGCGACGAAAAGACAGTCTACTATTCTGCCCTGTCCACTCAGTCATGGTCCATTGACTTTGAATTTTTGTAAATAGTTTGCATGTTTAAGTTAAGTCAGTTTTATTGGAATCCCAAACGGAGGTCAGTGTTATTTGGTATGGAGTTAGATTGGACACATATAATTTCAGTTGAGATTTTTTAAACCGTCACCCTTCAGTTATGGTCTCGTGTAGTAAACAATGTTGCCATTTTAATTTCAGCATTTGCATTAAACTATTACAATAATATACCGGCGTGACACATATCTGTGTCAACAGTTTATTACATTATATTTGCATTCTTGTTATCTTCATGTTTAAAACCACTGAACTAAATTAAACCAAACTTAGTATAAAGGATACCTACATGTTATGTAATAATATTTAACTTTACGATTTATATTATACGATCTTGTAACTCATACCATGCAGGACCTAAATATTACAAAATAAATGTTATCATAAAAAAGATGCCAAAAACGGTGTCTTCCTCCTATTCCCACTTTTTAAAAATCACTATCCCTTCTATTCCCACATGCAAATAACAATAGATGTTTTGATTAATAATTTGTTTTTATGACAATCAAGGTTAATTAAAATTTCACTTAAGATTTACCTGTATTTTTTTTTTTAAAAGAAAACATATTTCCTACACTGTTTAGGTATAATACACTGTTTATTTGTAATATGTTTTTTTTCGTCAAAGAAATACTTAAAAATATAGAATATTTATGATTAATAGATTGAAGTAAGATTAAAAAAAATTGTCATCCGAACAAATAAGTTGATGATAGATAATATTCTAACCAAGTATAATCTGAAGATTAGGAATAAAAGTATACTAATCTTAAGATGTGAAATAAAAGTAAACTCTAACAATAATATTTTTTGGACCAATAATCAAAGATGTAAAATAATTGCTGAAAACTGTTCACTTTACTTCTAAGCATGGAAAATAAATGGATATCAATCAGATTTGATTAATCTTAATTAACCCAGTTATCCAAGCTTAAAAAATCAGAATAATCTTTGCAAGCCAAAAACTTAGCTGACAAATACTTACTCAGTTGTGAAGCCCAAGCTCTATGAGCTCCAAGCTAAAACATTGATATAAATTGTGGTCCTTCTTCAGTTATGTCATTCATGTGAGTTGCATTCTGAACCGTCAACCTCGTGAACAATTATTATGGAATTACCGAATGATTTGAAAGCGCTTTTAGCCACCATGCAGTTAGAAGAAAAGAACCTGAGTGGAAATTTACTGCCAATTCTATCCAGGTTACCGTCCAACTCACCTGGATCAAGGCCAAGGTCCCAGACACTACATCCAGGAACCCTAAGCCGGCCCTGCAAAAGAAACACAAGCCTCCATCTACCAGGAGACGAAATGCCGAATGTTTCACCCAGTGGATGGACTCCAAAAAAGCCGTTGATTCCGCTGATACACCTGTTACTACCATCAGTACAAGCGTAGATAGCATCTGTCAGACGCAAGCCAGGGATACAGTTATTGGTATACCACTTAAAACAACAAAATATCGTGGAGAACCAGAGGGAGTCAACATCAAGACAGACATTGTCACTAGTCCGTACAACTCCTGGAAGGCATGCCATCGCCGTTACTTCTATACTCCATCCAAACCTAGAAGTAAGCGTAGTAGGATAGACTTCACAGAGGGTTTTGACATCGATGGCCCCGAACTATTTCGCACACCATCACATACCTCACCAATATCCATGCCAGAACCAGAAGCCATTCAAACTGCCTTTGCCTTACAAGAACGGCCAGACACTCCGTACCAACCTCAACCACCAGGTCGGAGCAAGATGAAAGGGAAAAGAACAGCAGATCCAACACTGCAAGAATAGGTTATCGAGTCCGCAATATCTATCAAGATAGCCGGACGATAAAACCCAACATCAATCAGTCATGTCATTACTCAGTTACAATGGCTAATGCACAACTACAGGTACAGTTCGTTACAAACAGACTTGGAAACCAAAACCTTGTACACAGTAGTTTTAGTTCCAGGCAAAGAACAAAAGGGGCCAAAGAACTTACTGGAACTGCTCCACTGCGAACTGTCCTGCCACCATAAATACTCTGAACATCATACCGACCAAAGTCTCAGCAAACTACAACCATAGGTCTGACCACATGCAGCTGAAAGTAGACGATGTCATCCAGAGAATGAAAGTTCGCTGCACAAATGAGCTGACACCAATTCCAACCATTTACGAAGGAGAATTAGTTAAACTCAGAAACGACGACTGGAACGACGACACAGAAGAATTTGTAGAGAACATTCCAACTTTCCTATATTGAAAGAATGCAATGTACAACAAACGCAAGAAGAACCTTCCAGTTTTACCAAAAACTGTTGATCAAATCAACATAGATGGTATTGGGGCACGCACTACCAAATAAAGGCAACAGTAGTATACCGCTGTTCGAAACTCATAAATCGACAGATAAAAAAGTAAATCCGGGTTACAAACTAAAACTGAGGGAAACGCATCAAATATAAGAGGAGAACAACGACACAACAAAAATACAACATTAAAATGTAACACACACAGAAACGAACTATAATATAACAATGGCCATTTTCCTGACTTGGTACAGGACATTTTAAGAAAAAAATGGTGGATTGAACCTGGTTTTGTGGCATGCCAAACCTCCCGCTTTTATGGCAACGTCAAACACAACATCAAAACAACAACATCACATGACAGGACCACAATACAAATAAATGGGAGAACATTTAGGACAAAGAAACACACGAATAATAACTAACAAAAGGTATTAGGCTTAAAATTCAATACGTCAGACGTGCGTCTCGTCCACACAAGACCACCAGTGACGCTCAGATGAAAAAAGTTTGAAAGCCAAAACAAGTACAAAGCTGAAGAGCACCGAGGACCAAAACTTCCAAAAAGTTGCGCCTAACACGGCCAGGGTTTTCTGCCTGGGACAAGAACATCCTTATTATTTAGAATAATTTATAATTTTGCAAACAGTAAATTTTATAAAATGACTATATAATAGATATACATGATAAAACCGAAGTGGGGAGTAACTACAGAATAAAAACGGATACATTACATAAAACAACTTAATCCAACACATCAAAATACACAGCCGAGTTAGCCAAAGCCTCAACGCACAAAGTGACGTCACATTTGAAATTCTAAAAAAAACACACAAAGTGACGTCACATTTGAATTTGTAAAAATATTTTCCAAAAATAATATAGGATTAAGATTGATTCAAGATTAGATTTGTAACACTGACATTACATTTATTAATAACAATGAAAATTACAATACTTATTAATATCAAATTGTGGAAGCCAAAGGCGATCCATTCCTGCTAACAGACGACATCACAGTTGGGCGTATTCTTATCTTCAGTGCGCAAAAGAATCTAACACACTTAGCAGCTGCAGATATCATATATGGTGATGGTACATTTTACACCTGTCCGATCCTATTCTTCCAACTGTACACATTTCACGCAATGGTTGACGGCGTAATGTATCCAATGGTACACAGTTTACTTCTAGCCAAGAGTTAACTAGTATATACAAGGTTCCTGACTTTACTTAAAGATGTATGCCACTAACACCAACTTCAA